AGGGGGCAGCCAGTTGATGTTTGTCTCTCACATTGATGTTTCTATCTCTCCCCTTCTCTCTCAAATATCAATAAAAACATATTTCTTTAAAAAAACAAAAAACACTGCTCTTTTCTCTATAGCTTTACCAACACTGGGTATGATGATTTAATCCTCTCAAACACCTTTGTGGTAGGGATTATTGATTGTTATTTTCTATGGTGCAGGAATCTGAGGCCCAGAAAGATAAAGTGACTTGGCTAGGACCCCACAGCAGGTTACTGCCCAAGCTGGGACTTGAATCCAAACCACTACTCTGGCTCCCAGCTGGACCTCATGAGGCTCCAGTCCCAAATTCCTCCTCTCCTGACTCGGTTTCCCTCCCCAGCTGGAGGGTGAGGCCAACCTTCCCAGCAGCGTGGCAGTACCACTGCCCCGTCAGAACGCCATGGTGGAAGCCAACACCAGCTTCCAGGTGGTGGGCTGCAGGATCCAATGACATAGGGGACTTCTCTCCAGTTATCCAAGGATCCTCAATGTCACTTTGACCCCCTTGGACCAGTATTGCCCCAACAATGTATGCACTGGCGTTTTTACCTGCTGGGGTGGCATCTGTCAGGTATGGGCCAGGTGTAACCTGACATGGACTCCTCAAGGCAGGAGGGGATCTTGAGAAAGAATGAGTTCCCCATGGTGGGAGAGAGCAAGTACAGGACAAGGGCCCTGGGACTGAGTATGGAATTAGAACTGGACGATCAAACATTTGTGCATTTCAGCAGCATGAGAACACATGGGGTTGGAACAGGTTTGAGGGTTACAGGAGAAAGGCTCAGGTTGGCGGGGCAGCTGCCAGCTCAGAGGTTCTGTGGTGAGAGTAGAGTGTGCGGCTAGACCTGGGGTGCTCTGACTGTTCTGCCACCCACCCAGGGTGATGGGGGCACTCCTTTCATCTGTGACAACCTGGCATGTGGTATGGCCCCTTTGATGGAGCACTGTGGCAGGGGGGCCCCAGCTTCTTCACCCATGTAGCATTCTTTCAAGACTGGAGATTTTGTTCTAAACCCCTCGCTGGGCTAGTGCTGGCCTCGTGCTGGCCTCTGCTGAGCCCCTGGGGGGCCTGTGACCTTCCATCTCCAGACCTGTCCCCCACCTCTACCCCAGCCTCTGTACTTGTGACTTCACTACAGAAGCCATCCTCATTCTCTCTGCACCCGCTGTCTGCTTTGCGAGGTTGGCAGGGGCTGGGGCAGGAGGTGATGAGCGTTTTCTGGCAGAGTGGCCTCCACTCACTGAATTCCCTCGCAGCCCTGAAAATCAGGGGCTGTCACTACCTCCACCTAACAGAGGGAGCACTGGGTGACTTACCTGAGGTCACACAGCCAGTGTGGGGTCTGAACCCCAATCTGTGAGATTCTAGGCCCACTTAACCACCTCTCGTTTTGGTTGAGAATATATTGTGCAGCAAAGTCAAGAGGCAAATGAGACACTGGCCAAAGATGGTCACTTGACTCACAGAAGTGACAGTGAGTCACTCTAATATTGAAAGAGCTAAAACATAACTATTAAATAATAAATACAATTATATAGAAATAATAAATAGAATTATATATTATATGTGTTTTTAAAAAATATTTTTTCTTTATTGATTGTAGAGAGAGAGGAAGGGAGAGAGAGAAACATCAATGAGAGAGAACATCGATTGGCCCCTCCTGCATGCCCCCCACTGGGGACTGGGCCCACAACCTGAGCATATACCCTGACCGGGAATCGAACTGGCGACCTCTTGGTGCATGGGTCGACACTCAACCAGTGAGCCACACTGGCTGGGCTATTATATAAGTTTATTAAAATAAAATTATTTAAAACTTTAGATATATATCATTATTTATTATATATCTATATATTTATATATTAATAGTATATAATTATGATTAATATATGAAGAGCACCTAAAATCAATAAGAAAGAAACAACAGCCCAGTAGTAAAAAGAAAAAAGGGTACAGGATGTGAGCAGTTCATAGCAAAGAAACACAAAAAAATCTTAAGGAGAAACCTGCCCGGCTCTCTCTGCACCATGTCTGGTTCCTCCAGCGTCACCACTATGAAGAAAGTGATTCAACAACTGTGACTGGAAGCCAGGCTCAACCGCCTGAAGATTTCCCAGGCAGCTGCAGCTTTGAAACAATTCTGTCTGCAGAATGCTCAACACGACCCCTGCTGACTGGAGTATCTTCAAGTACCAATCCCTTCAGACCCCAGAAAGTCTGTTTCTTTTTGTAGTGAAATGAATCTTTGAAGGTATTCTAAGCCACTTTTCTTGAACCGATGAATATTCAGAGAGAGTTAAATTGGAAGCCTGTATAAAAAACTTATCTTGGCCTGGCCCGTGTGGCTCAGTGGTTGAGCACTGACCCATGCACCAAGAGGTCGCCAGTTCAATTCCCTGTCAGGGCACATGCCCAGGTTGTGGGCCTGATCCCCAGTGGGGGGCATGCAGGAGGCAGCCAATCAATGTTCTCTGTCATTGATGTTTCTAATCTCTCCCTTTCTCTCTCTCTCTAAAAATCAATAAAGAAAAAAAACTTATATTGTAACATGTGCCATACTATACAATCTTCTGCTTTTGTCAGTCCTTAACATTCACCTCTCTGAATTTTCATGAATTTCTGTTCCACAAGGTGATTATTTTATATACACGGCAGCAGCATACAAATAAAATACTTAGTATAAAAAAAATCTTAAGGGTACAGAAACACCTTCACCTTCATTCATTATACTAGAAATATGAACAAACTTTCTCAAAGATACCATTTCTTTCAACTTATGGGGTGTGCAAAAGTCCTGAGGTTTGAGAACTCTGTGAGTGTATGCCTTGGTGGGCGGGTAACTGGGACACCCCCAGCAGAGGTGGATCTGGGGTCTCAGAGTCAGCAACTTAGAGAGGTAAAGTCACTGTCTGCTCATTGTTCAGATGGGGAAACTGAGGCCCAAGGGCTGTTGGAGTCCAAGAGCATATGGTCCCCCAGCCCGGAGCCCTCCCATACTGACACAGGAAAAGAGTATTTTTCTTTTGTTAGGAGAGGAGAGGAAAAAGAGAGACAGTTGAAAATAGAGACTGCAGGCTGAACCTGCTCCCTCTCTTTCCCTCCATGCTCGGGTCCTGGTGACTCAATAGACCCAGTTCCTGCTCCTGCAGGTTCCTGCTTCTGCAGCCATTGCCTGTTATGCCATCCACAGCTGGAGTGGGAAGAGACGAGGCAGCAGCTTCCAGCCCCCTCTTCCCCTCCACCTGCCACCTGGACCCCCAGAGGCTCCAGACTGTTCCCTCCTGTTACACTACCCCCAGGCTCTCCACAGCCCATAGTTTTTGCTGAAGTGGGGAGCTCCCCCCCCATTCCCTTTGCCTCCAGGCAGCCCCCACCTCTGCACTCACCTGCCTGTCCCCCAGCCTTGGTGTGATGTGCACCTGGAGCAGAGCACTTGGAGAGGAGGACATTGAGACCCTCCAGGAGGCTCCCCCTTGGTGGGTGAGTTATCTGGTAGGGTGTGTGTGTGTGTGTGTGTGTGTGTGTGTGTGTTTCTTTTTCTTGTTTGGTTAAAGCTTTATTGCCCTGGCTGGTTTGGCTCAGCAGTTAGAACGTTGGCCCACGGACCAAAAAGTCGCAGGTTCGATTCCGGTCAAGGGCACGTACCTCCATTGCCGTTTGTCCCCAGCCCTAGTGGGGGTCATAAGGGAGGCAGCCAGTCAATGTATCTTTCTTACATCCATGTTTCTCTCTCTCTTCCCATCACTCCCATTCTTTCTGAAGATAAAATTTAAAAGCTTTATTGAAATATACAAGTTGTATGAAACCATACAACTTGGCCCATTTAACAATTCAATGGCATTTGGTGCATTCACAATGTGTAACTACCACCTCTACCTAGTTCTAAAATATTCCATCACCCCAAAAAAGAAACTCCTGTTCCCATCAGCAGTCACTCCCCAGCCCCAGACCCACTTCCTGTCTCTGGATGTGCCTGTTCTGGACATTTCACATAAATGGAATCACACAGTATTTGTCCTTTTGTGTCTGGCTTCTCTCGTGAGCATGGCGTTTTCAGGGTTCATCCACGTTGAAGCGAATGTCAGTACCTCGTTCCTTTAACTCCCTGGGTGAGGGGTTTCCAATGACCCCAGGAGACTGCGTTCAGTAACCTTCTGCCTACTGAGGTCCTGGGAGGATGCACACACTTAAATACTCAGCCTGAGTGGGATGGAGTGGGGAGGTGACTCACAGATGCTGGGGTCACCCTAGTTTATACCATCTGACCATCAGGATTTATTCTGGTGTCTACTGTGAGCAGTGAGTGAACTCTAATTTTTCCCAAATAATGAACTGGGGTTTCTCCCGTTGACACTTGGGGAGAGGGAGCCGATCATCTCTATGGGAAACCATCCTGGGCACTGTGGGGGGTTGAAGAGCATTCCTGGCCCCACACATTCCATACCTAGAGCACCCACAGTGCTGACAACCAAATGTCCCTCCACAGTGTCCCCTGGAGGGACAATCACCTGGGCAGAAGCTCTGCCTTAGAGGGAACAATGAATTCTTATGGGTCACAGAAGGGCACATGGCTCTGTGGCCCCCACCACCTTTTCCTGTCCTTTCCTGTCCCCCACACCTGGACACGCTGGTCACAGTCCTCTTTGCTCAGGCCAAAAGGACCCCATCGGAAGAGGTAGGAAGTGCAGTGTGTGTGACCCTCTGAGGGCTGTGCCATGCTGCCCCTTGTCCAGGGGACCCAGGCATGGGGTGGGCAGGAGGCAGCTTCTCACACTCACAGGGGAGTGGGGACCCTGAGCCCAGTGCTTCCTGTCCTGGAGTGTGGTTCTACCCCCCAGCTCCCTGGGGCCCTAAGTTGAAAGGAAGAAGTGAGGACGCCCAGTCCAGGCATGGAGCAACCCCAACGGCCTCCAGGCATTGGGCTATAAGAGGGGGTGAGCAGGCAAGGGGATCCCAGAGCTCCCACTGGACCATGACCCACAGCCACCGACCCTCCAGTCCTGCCCTGGCCCTCGTCTTGCTGTTCATGCTGCTGGGTGGTGAGTGGGACCACCCGTTTGTTCGTCCATCTGTCCATGCCCTGCTGATTCTGGGGAATATCCACCCACAACAGCCAGCCCAATGCCCTCACCACACAGATGGGGAGACTGAGGCAGGACCAGGGCAGGACTCATTTGATGCTTGGGATGAATGCCCCAAGGGAAGGGAGGGGGAGGTCTGGGGCATTTGATTCAGTTTCTCCATCTGTGAAATGGGCAAAGCCCAGTGCTTCCCTCCTAGGGAGGTGGGTGGGGATGGGCCCAGCAGGGACAGCGCTGATGCCCCTCTTTCTCAGGTGCAGCATGGGCTTCAGAGATTGTGGGTGGGCGGGACGCCAAGCCCCATTCGCGGCCCTACATGGCATCACTACAGATCACAGGAAACCACTTCTGTGGGGGCACCTTGATCCACCCGAGTTTCGTGCTGACCGCTGCTCACTGCCTGGTGAACATGTGAGTGCTCGGGTGGACCTGCTCGAGGTCTGAGTGAGGAGATTCAGGCCTGCCCTGGGTTAGAGGAGGGGAGGGAATGTCCTGCCGTGGGTCTGATGGGGAGGCGAGGTCTGCCCTAGGTCTGAGGGAGGCAGAGGGAGCTGCATTCTGGACTTCACGATGCCCATGGGGGTGGGGGTGGACATGGTGGGAGGCAAATGATAAGCACCCTGACCCTTCAGGCCCCTGGCTCTGGTGAAGGTGGTGCTCGGGGCCCACAACCTGCAGGACATGGAACCCAGCCAACAGCAATTCTTCGTCACTCGCCTGTTTTCCAACAACTATATCCCAGAGCAACACCTCAATGACATCCTCCTCCTACAGGTGGGTGGGCAGGGCCCACAGGGCTGGTAGGACCCCTTTGTTCATCCTCAGCAAACGTATTGAGTGCCTACTGTATGCAAGGCCCCTGCAAGTGCTGAGATATAATCTGGTACACAGTAGGCCTGGTAAGGAGAGAGCCATTCAGACAATAGCCCCCCAAATAGCCGCCCCACCTGCCGCCCAGCCTTTGCCTTGGCTATGCCCTTTGCCCGGTACCCATCCACACAACATCCTCACCCCCAACCTCACCTTCTCATCAAGACCTCCCCTCACCCCAGTGGAAAGACAGTCAACCCTCCCCTGAGTTACATTCACCGTCTCATCACTTCCCTTGAGACAGTACATCTGTCATCCTCCTCGCCTCTCCAACTCCCTGAAAGATTAGCTCCCGGAGGGCAGAGGTAGTATCCCCAGGGCTCAACAGAGGACTGAGCACACAGTTGGCACTCAATAAGTGCTCTGTAAGTGAATGAATGCCACAGTAACAAATGCTACAAAGGGGAGGCCCATGGTCTCAGAGAATGTAAAACTGAGCCCTGGTGAGGTTTGGAGGGTCAATCAGAGCAGGTTCCCTGAAGGAGGTGACCCCTGAGACAGAACTTGAGGGGGGGGGCAGGCAGAGGGAACAACATGTGCAAAGAAAGGTCCAGAGGAGGCACTTTGGGGTGGTCAGGACATAAGTGCATGTGAGAAGGGGGTGGCTATGGGGCCTAGAGACAGGGTCTCACTGCCCACCCACTCTCGTTCTGCCCCAGCTGGACCGCCCCGCCAACCTCAACACCCAGGTCGCAGTGGCCCCGCTTCCCGAGCAGGACCAACTGCTGCCCCACGGCACCCAGTGTCTGGCCATGGGCTGGGGCCGCCTGGGCACCCGTGCACCATTGCCTAACATCCTACAGGAGCTGAATGTCACTGTGGTCACCTTCTTTTGTCGGCCAGAGAATGTGTGCACCTTTGTTCCTCGTCGCAAAGCTGGCATCTGCTTTGTACGTACCTGCTGCAGTGCCCTGGACCACGTTAGGATGGCCAGAGGGACCTCCTGAGAGGCTGGGCTGCCCTGCAGCAGAGTGGGCTCCAGGAGCTGCCCATAGGAGGGAGGGTGGGTGGGTAGCCGCTGTTCAAATCTACCTTCTCCTTACTGAGCAGTTGCAGGCTGTGCCTTGGTCTCCCCATCTGGAAGAGGGAGACATTTATCATTTGAGTTCAGCATGTGGAGTGTGGAACAGCCTCAGCTCCCACAGGCACAGAGGGGCAGACACTTATGTCTACCCAGTGGGTCTAGGGGCTTTCCCACCCTGGGGCCCACTATTGGACCCTGGGGATGTGTGGTGACCTGTTCAGCCTCATTCCAAGGGTCCAGGTACATAGCAGGAGGCCAATAAACATCCACTGTCCTCCAGAATGGCCTCATCTCCCTTTGTCACCCACATGTCTTAAAGAAAATTCTGGACTGGAAACATTTTACCACTAAATGAATTAGGCTTCCACACATCCTGGGTGACTGACCAACCTGTCCCCACCCTTTCTAGGGGGACTCTGGCGGCCCCTTGATCTGCGACGGCGTCCTCCAGGCCGTGGACTCCTTCCTGATCCGGGAGTGCGCTTCCCAACAGTACCCTGACTTCTTCGCTCGAGTTGCCCTCTACGTGGACTGGATTCAGTCTGTGCTGAGAAGCGTGGGGGGTGAGGGCAGCCCCTGAACCACTTCCCAGATCCCTCCCCAGGGGCCTCACTGAGGCTAGCGATCAAGCCCTAGTGGGGGGAAAGGGGCTGGTGCCCAGCCTCACGTTGAGGTCAATAAAAATTTCAACCCTCTTTTTGCTCCTGTCTGTCCTTCCCATATGGGGAGACGTGGGGGAGAGTGGCCAAGGGTCCCCAGCATCCAAGTCTCCCAGTCCCAGACTCTGGATGGCGGTTTGGAGCAGAAGACTGGAAGCCAGTGGAGGGCCCCGGTCACATTGCCCATAGACATAGGTTCTAATCCAGCCCCGCCAGAGTGGCCCCGGGCAAGTTGATGCCCATCTCTGTGTCTCAGTTTCCTTATCTGAAAAACGAAGCCACCGCAGACATTTCTCAGAACTGACCAAGGGCCCCACCCTGACCCTCAGGGACAGGGGTATCGTGTCCAGCTCTGTGTCTCCAGCTCGGGGGCTGCTGGAGGACCAGGCTGTCATAACTTGGAGTGCCCAGGGCCTATGGGGCTCCTGACCCAGTCAGGGGCAGGCAGAATGGTTATTAGGGAGGCTTCCTGGAGGAGGCATCTATGCCTAAACAGGATTATGAAGAGAAGAGCCCCCAGGCAGAGGCACATCGAGTACGGAGGAACAGTAAGGTGTCCGGTGTGGCTGAGATGGAGACCGTCAAGGGGATGGGGGAGAAAAGTCAGGGATGTGGTGGGGCGGGAGCATGCAGGGCCACAGACATGAACTGGGGGGGCCTAGAGAAGAGGCCTCAGGCCAGGAAGAGGTAGAGGTCATTGGCCAGTGGGTAAGTAGCCATGGGAATGAGGCTCAAAGAGAGGGCCAGACTGCTCACAGGACATACTGGAACGGGAAGAAAGCTCTTTCTTTACTGATTTATTCTGCCACCACCTGGTGTCAGCGTACAAATTCAAGCAAGAGTGAGAACTCCCAGGCTGGCTTGAGTTTGCAACTCTTTTACACCTCACCCCAGGGGAAGTGCTATGACTGGTTTGCAGCAGCAGGGCCAGGAGCAAACGTGTGCTAAGACTGGGCATGGCTGCATCCTGGGAAATTACTCTGATGAGTGTCAGGGGGGTGCTGGGGATTCCCTGCATTTCCCAGGGGCCCAAGGCAGGAAAGTGATTTCTATAAAAATCCCACAGCATTGGGGGTAAAAGAGGTTTGCTAGAGGGAATGTTGGGAACAGAAGGACCCACAAAAACACAGCAAGAGATGTTTTTTGTTTTTGTGGCCTTGTGTGTGAAAGATGGCTTAGGTGCTTACTAAGTGCTATATGGTAAATGTAAGCCAATGAGGTGGGGACTCTGCCAAGTAGGAAAGGGGGTTCGGACTGAAAGGGGGTGACGTGCATCTGATGAAAGGAGGGATGAAGGGTGGACACTGGGCACCTGCTATGTGCCAGGCTCTGAGAAAGCCAAGCCATCATCCTCACTGATGAGACTTGGGAGTTTGCTTGCCTGTGGCTACAAATGGAGGAGGACTCAGGGAATCTCTGCACAGCAAAGATCAAACTCAATAGTAGGAATTGAGGATCAGTGATTGGGGGACCCTGGATAGATTCGGGAAATGCCAAACCTACAGGAATAACAAGCAGGATGGGAGGCCTCAGTGAGCAATGGGTTCCCCAGGAAGCCCTGAGGGTGGGCATCTCTGCTGCTGGGGCCCACAGCCAGGTGGGGCCACTCCCTACAGCTCAGGGGTTCCCCCTCTCGCCTTCAGCAGTGGGGAAAGACACTCACATCGTTTTCTCCCTGCAGTGTAACTTAGGCATATAAAGTGTACTGTCTTATTTGGTTGACTCATTACTCATTACAGGGATATGGCCAGTGTCACCACTACTCTGATTACAAATTAGAAGCCTAGCATTTGCCTCCCAGCCTATACTCTCCAGGCAACCACCACCCTGCCCTCCTGGAGGTGATTAATGGTTAATAAGCCCTCCAGGACATTATTTTATTATATAAGAACTTTACAAATGTTCATTCATTTGTGGGATAATCCTATGCAATAGAGCCTATTATTATAACTTCTCTTTTAGAGACAAGGAAACTGAGGCACAGACAGGTTAAGTTAGTAGCCTGAAGTTATGAAGTGGGCAAGTGGGCAAGCCAGGATATGCACCCAGAGTCAATAGACTTGAGGACCATGAGATGTGTGAACATAGTATACAGATGGTGCTCAATAAATGCCTCTTTTGCCCTGGCCAGTTTGGCTCGGCGGTTAGAGCGTCGGCCTGCAGTCCAGAGAGACCCGGGTTCGGTTCCCACTAAGGGCACGTACCTCGGTTGCAGTTTGTCCCCGGCCCTGGGTGGAGGTTGTGTGGGTGGCAGCCAGTGGATGTGTCTCTCTCGCATTGATGTTTCTGTCTTTCTCTCTTCCTCTCTCCCTCCTGCTCTATCCGAAATGCAAAAATGTCCTCAGGTGAGGATTTAAAAAAAATACATCTTTGGTTAAACAGGGTCTCCCTTTCTGAGCACCCCACCCCTAGATATGGCTTCCTCCACTCTCCCTCATCCCTGGACTGGAAACAGGGTTGTGTATACAGCTGGTGCTTACTAAGTGCTATATGGTAAATGTAAGCCAATGAGGTGGGGACTCTGCCAAGTAGGGAAGGGGGTTCAGACTGGTGATGTGCACCTGATGAAAGGAGGGATGAAGGGTGGACACTGGGCACCTGCTATGTGCCAGGCTCTGAGATAGCCAAGCCATCATCCTCACTGATGAGACTTGGGAGTTTGCTTGCCTGTGGCTACAAATGGAAGAGGACCCAGGGACAAACGGAACTCCAGCTCTGGCTCTGAGTGTCCTCGGTGTCCCCACGCACTTGTTCCTGCAGATGGATCCGTTGGTCCCCTCCCCTGAACCTTGCTCCAGGTCAGGAGAACGTTGCTTCTTGCGACAGCCTTGGCTATAACGGTTGCTGCTGGAGCATTCTGGGGGAGGTGGGAAGAGGAACAGGGCCATGGGGTGGGGGCTGGGCCCCTTCTCCATAGTTTGGCCTGAGTTCTTCCACAGCCCTAGGAAGAAGCTCTTAAGCTTCCATCGACATTCATGGTTCAGCCCCCAGGCCTGGGCAGGATTCCTTTCCCAGGCCAGAAAGGGGTTCTGCAAAGCTCAGGGGGTCGAGGGTGGGAAGGGGGAGGAATTCTTTCCCAGAACCCCTGCTGGTGACCAGGGACTAATAGGGCCCAGAGTGAGAATGAGTTCCCCAGTATGAGTAACAGCCGAAAAGAAGTTGGAAAGCCAGGCCTGGAGAGGGAGACCCAAGACTCAGGGAGGTGGGCAACAACTCACCATCCAGCTGTGAATTGTGGGGGCCTGAGTTCAAGCCCCAGTATGCTCACCATGTCACTGGGTAGGAACTCATGGGGGAGGCCTCATTGTGCCTCAATTTTCTCATCTCAAATGGGGACCTAGCAGCCTCCCATTGTCCCTGTAAAATGTCAGGACAGAGCTGCATGCACTGTCTCTATTATAGTGCCCTGGGTAAACTGAGGCATGTGGGGGAACCCAGCCGACATTCTTTGGGCCTAAGGTTGCCAGATTTATACAACACCCAGTTAAATTTGAATGTCAGATAAATAATGACAACCTTTCTGGATAATTACAACATTTGAGACACAGTTATACTAAAAAATTGTTCAAACAGAAACGCATAGACAAACGTCAGTATGGTGGTTATCAGAGGGAAGAAGGCTTGGAAGTAGTAAAGGTTAAAGGGGGTCGCCCGACTGGTGTGGCTCAGGATTCAACGTCATCTCATGGACTTACCAGGTCGCAGGCTCAATCCCCAGTAAGGGGCGTGCAAGAGGCAGCTGGTCGATGTATCTCTCTCACATCAATGTTTCTATCTCTCTCTCCCTCCCTCCCTCTCTCTCTCAAAAATCCATAAAACTTTTTAAAAAAAAAAGGTAAAGGGGGTCAAATATATGGTGATGGAAGAGGATTTGACTTTGGGTGGTGGGCACACAATGCAATATACAGATGATGTACACTTGAAACTTATATAATTTTATTAAGCATTTTTACACCAATAATTTAATTAAAAAGAAAACAGATTTTTAATCTGACTTTCAAATTTGTGTCGTGAATTTTATCGGGAGCCATCACAGGCCCCTTGTACACACCAGCCCTATTCTTCCCATCGTTGCCCTCATCCATTCCTGAGGGTGGAAAAAGGAAGTGGGGACACTTGGTCCCATCATGGGGCAATGCAACGGCTCCCAGGCTTTGGGCTATAAGAGGGCCTGGTGGGTACAGGGAACAGAGACACCGGAGCCCCCGCCCAACCATGACCCAAAGCTGCAGACACTCTGGCCCTGCCCTTGCCTCTATCCTACTGACCATGCTGCTGGCTGGTGAGTGGGACCACATGCCTGTCCATCCATCAGTCCCTGGACATTCATTCCAGCCTCTCAACTTTGCCCTCGACCCAAGTGGCCCCCTTATCCTTATGGGAGGTGGCAGCTGGGATGAGGAGATCCATTTCTAGAGGAGGAGACTGAGGTTCAGAGTGGGGAGGAGATCAGAGTCCAGAGTTTAAACCCAGCAGGGACAGGTCAGTGGGCATGCTCTGGGGACTCCAAAGCCAAATTAGGTCCACATCTAGCTGAGCCCTGGCAGGAGGCAGTGGCAGACCCCTCTCTCCTCTCTGTACCTCAGTTTCCTCATCTGGCAACAAGCACATGAAGAAAGAGCCCTGACCCATAGGTTCTTGGTGGGAGTTCAAAAGCTAACTGACCCAGTAGGGTAGGGCTCCTCCAAGGCGCTCACTACCTCCACCCCTAAATGTCTTCAGGCTGCGTGCTGGCCTCCAAGATTGTGGGGGGCCGGCAGGCCCAGCCCCATGCGTGGCCCTTCATGGTGTCCCTACAGCAGCGAGGAAGACACTTCTGTGGTGGCACCCTGGTGGCCCCGAACTTTGTCATGTCGGCTGCGCACTGTGTGAACGGCAGGTGAGTTACTCCCAAGCACACCTTCCCTCTTCAGGTCCTCTGTTTCCACATCTGTTAAAGTGGGGTGGGGGGATGGGAGGGTGGGGAGTGAGACCAGGGCCTGGGCTCCTCCAGGGTGCCCCCATTAACACACCTTCTCTACCAAGCCCAACTGAAGGCATTCAGCCAAGGGGTCCAAGAATCTGCCCTGGGTGGCAAGGCACCCCATGGGTATGGGGCTGGGCTCGGCTGAGCCCTGGGGTCTCTCTGCCAACCCAAACCCCAGAGCTACCTCGAATCACCTCCTGCACCCATTTTGCTGCAGAAACTTCCAGTCAGTGCAGGTGGTGCTGGGGGCACACAACCTGAGGAAGCGTGAACCCACCCGGCAGTTGTTCAGCGTTCAGCAAGTCTTTGAAAATGGCTTCGATGCCCAGAGGTTGCTCAATGACATCGTGATTCTGCAGGTGCGAGGCCAGCTGGGCAGGGAAGGGATGTCCCAGCTGGGGAAGGCATGCCCAAGCAGGTGCAAAGGCCTGGAGGCCTGAGGCTTCGGGAGGGTGACGAAGGAGCTATAGACTAGGGCTCACATCTGGCTTTAATTGGGTAGGTAGGTCATCTCTGGGTCTCAGTTTCCACCTGTGTAACCTGGGAAAATAAGCCCCACTTGGTAAGGCTGCTGAGCAAGTGAACAAGAGGATGCAGAGATCTCTGAATAGTTGTCCATCAACAGACTGTGGTGATTATTTGTGCCCTGTGGCCGAGGACATGAACAGTCCCTGTCCTTGTGAAATGGGGCAAAATTCCCCACATTCAGTGGTGGGAAACTGGAGGGAGAACCCTTCCTTTTCCCACGGCTTATAGAGTTATGATTATTATCTATAATGTTCTAGAACAAGGGTTTTGTTGTCATTGGTGTTGCCCATAGTTTGGTGTATTGAGTACCTACTGTTTACTGTACTCAAGACATGTCCAAGGTCACCTTGAGCCACTGTGGTTGCTCCTACTTCACAGGCGGGGAAACTGAAGCTCAGGGTGGGGGGCATCTTGTAGGACGGGCATCCTACTCCATAAAATACCAGAACTACCACGGAGCTTCAGGTGGGGAAACAGGCTCGGAAAGGGAAGAGTCAGCACCCACTGCCCCGTGTAACTCTTTGGTACTCTGTTCTGCCCACTGCAGCTGAACGGGTCAGCCACTATCAATGCCAATGTGCAGGTGGCCAGGTTGCCTGAGCAGGACCAAGGTGTAGGCAATGGAGTGCGATGCCTGGCCATGGGCTGGGGTCAGCTGGGCACAAACCGGCCACCACCCAGAGTCCTACAGCAGCTCAATGTGACTGTGGTGACGTCCCTCTGCCGCTCCACCAACGTGTGCACACTGGTACCACGCCGGCGGGCCGGCATCTGCTTTGTAAGTACCTGTGACACCCTCCTCAGCTCTTACCCCACTCCCACTGCAGCAACCAGGACTGCAAGCCAGACTCCAGGAGGATTTCCCAACCCTGAAGGGAGGTGGGTGGATAAGGGGCTTTGGAAGCTTAACCTCCTAATCTCACCCGGCTCTGCACACAGGGGGACTCTGGTGGACCCTTGGTCTGCAATGGGCTGATCCATGGGATCGACTCCTTCATCAGGGGAAGCTGTGGCTCTGGCTTCTACCCAGATGCCTTTGCTCCCGTCGCGCAGTTTTCAAACTGGATCAACTCCATCATTCGCCGACATGATGGACACCCTCATCTCCACCCCAGGGACCCTGCAAGTCGGAGCCACTAGAAAGGGCTGCCCCAGTCACCCCACCTCCCCTGCCCCTGGCCGGGCCATCCCATACTGCATTATGCAGCATTTGGCACAATAAAACCCTCTCTGTTTTGTAGAATGTGTCTGGGCGTTTGTTGGTTGTGCAATTGGAAATTGAAAGTAGTTAGGAGTGCCCTGGCCAGTGTGGCTCAGCAGTAAGAGCATCGCCTGCGGACCAAGTAGTCCTGGGTTCATCTCCGGCCAAGGGCACGTACCTTGGTTGCTGTTCGTCTTTGGCCCTGGTTGGGGTTGTACAAGTCGCAGCCAATCGATGTGTCTCTCTCACATCGATGTTTCTCTCTCTTTCCCTGTCTCCCTCCCTCCCTCCCTCTCTCCAGTTCTATCTGAAAGATTAATGTAAATATATATATATATATCCATCCATCCTCGGGTGAGGATTTTAAAAAATCAAGTAGTCAGGAGAATGTCTTGAGCATCTCACTCCTATGCTGCCACCAGATGGCAGCAAAACCAGGGCATTAGGGTAAGAAGTTCCTTCCTCTCCTGCCACAAAAGTATGCCAGTTACTATTTCTGGTTTCCCTTCTGTAAAACATGACTGAGTTAGAGTTACAGGTTGTTATGATACAAAGCGTTGTAGCAGGTGTTTGTTGAGTGCTTATCAGGTGCAGGAATCATTCTCAGTCTTTGCAAGTGTTGGCTCATCTGGACTCTCTCCAGCCCTTGAGGCAGGTTCCATCAATGCCATGTTTCACAGATAAGAAAGAGGAGGTGCAAAGAGGTAAAGCCATTCTCCGGAGCCTGAATTTGAGTCCCCGCTCTTACTTTGGGCAACTTGGTCGCCCGAACCTCTGTTTCCCTGTGGGGAGGAATAAGGTGCTGTCTGGGAAGGGCAGAGCCACAGATTGGGGTCTCACTGGGTGACACAGACAAGCCCTCCTCCACCTCTTGCTCTGACAAGTGGGAAAAAGCAGAGCAGAAGATTCCCAAGGCATCCTCCAGCCTCAGTGAAAGTTGCTGCCCTGGCAGGCATGACCGACTTGTACTACACTTCTGCTTTCCTGGGCCTTGGGTGGGGACCACAATAGACGTGGCCTCTGCCATCATGCAGCTTACAGTCTGATGGTGGGGGAGGAAATAGTCACCCAAGCAAACAAATAAATGAGAGTAATAACAACAGGTAATGTCACCCCCCACATATACACCATGAGTTTGGGATAAATCTTTCCCTCCTTGTCCCCTGGCCCTAAATCCCCTCCCTCTGGGTCCCTTGGGAACCCTCAGAGTCTTTGCCTTGGCTGTGTCCTCTGCCTGCCTTCTCTTTCTGCAGGCTGTTCCCTTATCTGGCCTCCCCCCAAGTGCCAGCTTCTTAGAAAAGTGACCAGCTGCCTTGCTCTTTCCACTTAATACTATACCCAGGCGGTCTTCCGTTGTCCCAAGGCATCTGGACACGTTCAGGGTTATTTATTGAACTGCCCCATCTTCCCGGGTTGTTTCCAAACTTTGTTGTAATTTTGAACATTTTTACATAATCTGGACTCCATGTCCTCATGGGCTTTCGTTCAGAACTTCTGATTTTAATAAGGAAACATGTTAGGATCTAACAGATCACATTTGTTATTTTTTTATTTATTTTATTTTTATTTTTATTTTTATCCTCACCCGAGGACATTTTTGCATTTATCCTCAGACAGTGCAGGAGGGAGAGAAGAAGGAAGAGAGAGAGAGAGAAACATCGATGTGAGAGAGACACATCAAGCGGTTGACACCCACATGACCCCAACCAACTGCAACCGAGGTACGTGCCCTTAGTGGGAACACAAACACAGGCTTCTCTGGTCCGCGGGCCGACGCTCTAACCATTGAGCCAAACCTGCCAGGGCACATTTGTTATATTCTATTATTTTCTGTATGTATGAAATAATCTTCTATGAGGAGAGAAGAAAAAGAGGGGAAAGTATCGTGTACTGGACCCTTTGGGGATGTCCAAGGTCCACCCTACTCTTTCGGTCTCAGCACCTACCACTCTTCTGTTCCTCAGAATCTGCCATCCCCTGCCTGGAGTGGTTAGTTTGGGAGGGGGCATGTGATCCAAGCTCAGCCAATTAAAAGCAACCTGGAGATATTGACTAGAGTGATGGGAAATTGGGGGAGGAGCCCACTGAGGCATTGAGCTGAGTCTGGGGTTCCTGGGCCACAACAAGGGAGCCTGTTGAGGAAAGAAGCCATCAAGGAGGAAGGGGGAAATCAGAGATAGAGACCTGACATTGTTTAAGGTGCCTGGATCAAGCCACACCTGAAGACAGACTCTGAACTTTCCATTTCCATTTCCTTATTGAAGGCACAGTCTTTCCAACTGCCCCTACACACCACCTTTCCAACATTCTACTTGTTGGAGTGTCAGGCCTCAGAACAACAGCAATGAGGACAAGGGTGTGGGGTGACCTTTCTCCCACCCTCATCCAACTTCCTTTACAAGATGGAGGAGGAAGACAAAGGAGGGAGGTGTAGAAAAATAAGGAAGTGGGTTGTTTACAAACTGTGGTTTCTAACTGCTGTTGCGAAACTTGAGGGCTGGAGGACACTCTTGGGAGGTTGGGCTGGGGGTGCTGGGATGGGTCCATCCCTCTGCTTTGCTCTTCCACCCTGAGGAGTTACTCCCCCCACCAGGGCCAGCCCTGGGCCAGGTACACAGAGGCAGGAGGCACCCCTTATGGTGCAGAGTCCAGCAAGATACAACCCCACACTGAAGAGGGCGGAAACAGACAGGCGGGCTCCCCTTTACCCAGCTGGGCAACTGCCCATTGGGCAGATAGGGCCTGTTGGAACCGCCCACCTTCCACTCTCATAAGAATGCCCCAGGGTCCCGCCTGGGTTACTGTTGAGGCCACAGCAGCATCATGGCAGACCTCTCCACGTTCCTGACGACTCTGATCCTTCTAGGAGTGGCCCTATGTGGTGAGAATGGACCTGAAACTGGGGTGACTGCAGGGTAGTCAGTCAGGGGGCCCTCTCCATCAAACAGGACTGTCCCTCAGCCCTACTAGGTAGGCAGAAAGGGGGCAGCACCCAGGTGAATGAAAAGCTCTGAAAGTCCAGCATTTCTCAAAACTTGGATTTGAAATGCAAGCTTTCCCCACAGTGAGAGTGAGAACATGCAGTTCTGCAGTGGAAACTGGCAGCCTGCGTATGCAGAGGCTGCTAGGAGTGTTGGTTTGGTCTTTGATTTTATGTGAAATCAAAGCTGTAAGTCTGCGTATAGAATGGAATTTGCCCCAGATCCCACCACTCGCTAATTGTTCCCAAGACCCTCAAGCATCTGAGTTTGTGACCCTGGGGTGTGGCGCTCTAATAATGGAGTTCCAGGTCTGAGGGGGGCTGGAGTGACCTCAGGGGTGGAGGGGATCTCTGAGGGCTGGGCTGCAGTCATCCGTGGAGTCCTCAGCCTACCTGCCTACACACAGCGGCACAGCCCCGCGGCCGGATCCTGCGCGGCGAAGAAGCCAAATCTCACGAGCGGCCCTACATGGCCTCGGTGCAGGTGAACGGCACACACGTGTGCGGCGGCTTCCTGGTGGCTGAGCAGTGGGTGCTGAGCGCAGCGCACTGTCTGGAGGACGCGTGAGTGGTGGTGGTGATGGGGAACACAGAGCAGGGGACGGGATTGGGATGGGGTGATGACGTGGATATGACAGAGACCCTGCCCCACACCCAGGACCAACGAGACGATGCAGGTGCTCCTGGGCGCACACTCACTCTCGCAGCCTGAGCCATCCAAGCACCTGTATGGTGTGCTCCGAGCTGTGCCCCACCCTGACAGCCGGCCAGATACCATCGACCACGATCTCCTGCTGCTGCAGGTCCGCCAAGCCTGGCTGCACTGCCTCCTGCTGCATGCCTCCCACCACCCCGCGACCCCCAATCCTGATGCCTGCCTCCCCTCCCCCCAGTCCCAGAGAGTCTAGCCACAGTCCCTCCTACTGCATGCTCCCCCTGCAACCCTGACACCCGCCTCTCCCTACCCCCAGCTGTCTGAGAATGCCACTCTGGGCCCCGCCGTGAAGCCCCTGCCCTGGCAGCGCGAGGACCGCGAAGTGGCAGGGGGCACGCTCTGCGACGTGGCCGGCTGGGGCGTGGTCAGCCACACCGGCCGCCGGCCCGACCGCCTGCAGTACTTGCTCCTGCCGGTGATGGACCGTGCCACCTGCAACCTGCGCAGGTACCACGACGGCACCATCACTGAGCGCATGATGTGCGCAGAGAGCAACCGCCGGGACACCTGCAAGGTGTGGGGTAGGGTTGGGCAGGGGCCAGGGTCGGGCGGGGCCAGCTGCAGAGGGTGCGACTGAGGGGTGGGGGAGGCCAATAGAGCGGAACCACCGGAAGGTGGGCTCTGCCGGACAGGGGGGGATATGGGGAGGGCGGGATCAGTGGAAGGGCGGGGCCAGGAGGGCGGGGCATTGGGGCGGGTTAGGTGAGAGGGCAGAGCCAACAGAACCGACTGAGCTCAAGCTGGGGAGGCAGGGCCTTGGTGGGTGGGTCCTGCAGTAGTGGGTGGGTCCTGGGGAGATTGACACGTGAGGGAACGGGTTTCGGCCCGAGAGAAGAGTGGGAATTGCAGTGGTCTAACCAAAGTAGGACCCTGGAGGGCGGGGATGGGGGGCCCTGGGTAGGGTGGTGCACACCCCCTCACGGACCTGTCTCACATAGGGCGACTCCGGGGGCCCGCTGGTGTGCGGCGGCGTGGCCGTGGGCGTGGTCACCTCGGGATCCCGTGTGTGTGGCAACTACAAGAAGCCTGGCATCTACACTCGTGTGGCGAGCTATGCCGCCTGGATCGACAGCGTGATTTCGGGGGGAGTGGCCTCCTGAGGAGACACTGAGGGGCGGGGTCACAAGGAGTAATAAAGTCATTCACTCCCTCATCCCATCATTTCAGTTTTCTCTTTCTATTTTATTAATTTGTTTTTGTTTTATGATTCCACATATAAGTGAAACCATATGGTATTTGTCTTTCTCTGTTTGACTTACTTCACTTAGCATAATGCCCTCTAGGTCCATACATGTTGTAGCAAATAACAATATTGCATTCTTTCTCATGACTGAGTAATATTCCATTGTATATGTACCATGTTTTCTTTATCCATTTGTCTATGGATGGACACTTAGGTTGTTTCCATATCTTGGCTGTTGTAAATAATGCTGCAATGAACATAGGGATGCAAATGTCTTTGGATAAATATCCAGAATGCTGCATCATATGACAGCTCTATTTTTAATTATTTGAGAAAACTCCATACTGTTTTTTATAGTGGCTACATCAGTTTACAATCCCACCAACAGTGCACAAGGATTTCCTTTTCTCCATATCCTCACCAACACTTGTTTATTTATTTATTTTAAATCCTCACCCGAAGATACTTTTCCATCTATCTTCAGATAGAGTGAGAGAGAGAGAGAGAGAGAGAGGGAGAGGGAGAGGGAGAGAGAGAGAGAGAAAAGTTGACCTGAGAGGGACACATCACCTGGCCACCTCCCACATGACCCCGACCGACCAGGGTCTGGGATCCAACTTGCAACCTAGGTATGTGCCCTTGACAGAGAATCGAACCTGTGACCCTTCAGTGCACAGGCTGACACTCTAACCACTGAACCATGCCAGCGAAGTCAATATTACTTTAAATGTTACGTTACAACCACCTTTTAAAAATTGATTTTAGAGGAGGAAGGGAGAGAGACGAGAGAGACAAACATCGATTGGTTGCATCCTGTACAGGGATGGAACCTGCAACTTAGGTATGTGCCCTGACGAGGAATCAAACCTGAGACCTTCTGGTGCCCAGGGCAGTGCTCCAACCAACTGAGCCACATTGTCCAGGGCATGTTTTTGTTGATTTATTGATGATAGCCATTCTGACAGGTATGAGGTGGTATCTCATTATGGTTTTGATTTGCATTTCTCTGATGATTAGTGACATTGAACATCTTCATATATCCATTAGCCATCTGTATGGTCTCTCTGGAGAAATCATTATTCAGGTCCTCTGCCAAAATTTAAATTGGGTTACTTGTTTTTTGATATTGAGTCATATGAATTATTTACATATTTTGAATATTAACCCCTTATCAGAAAAATCATTTGCAAATATCTTCTCCCATCAGTAAGTTGTTTTTTTATTTTGTTGATGGTTTCCTTTGCTGTGTAAAAACATTTCAGCTTGATGTAGTCTCGTGCTCATTTTTTCTTGTTTCCCTTGTCCAAGGGGGCATATACAAAAAGATATTGGTAAGAGTGATGTAAAAGAGTTTACTGTCTATGTCTTCTTCTGCCTTTGTGTTTTGGGTCTTATATTCAAGTCTTTAATCTAATTTGAGTTTATTTTTGTGAGAAATCAGCTGATAGCCTTATGGGATTTCCTTTGTATGTAATTCTTTGTTTTCCTCTTGCTGCCTTCAAGATTGTCTCTTTATCTTCAACTTTTGCCATTTTAACTACATGTCCTGGTGAGGTCTCTTTGGGTTCATCTTGTTTGGAACTCTCTGTACTTCCAGCCAGGGCCCAACCATTATTTATTTAAGTAAAATCTCTGTTGCTTTCTCTCTTTCTTCTCCTTCTTGGATCTCTATAATGTGAATGTGGAGAGTTTGATGTTATCCCAGAGGTATCTTAAACTGTCTTGGGTTTTTCAATTTTTTTTCCTTCTGTTCTGATTTCCACTAGTTTGTCTTCCAAGTCACTGATTCATTCTTCTGTGTTAGCTAATCTGCTGTTAATTCCTTCTAATATGTGAGTTTTTTTTATTGCAGTTATTGTATTTTTTAGGTCTGCATGATTGTTTTGTTTTTTTTTTAATCCTCACCTGAAGATATTCTTCCATTTTTTGTTCAGATAGAGTGGGAGGGAGAGAGAGCAAGAGAGAGAGAGAAACACTGACGTGAAAGACACATCGAGTGGCCGCCACCCACATGACCAACCAGGGCTAGGGGCAAACTGCAACCAAGGTATGTGCCCTTAGCGGGAACCTAACCCGGGTCTCTCTGGATCACAGGCTGATGCTCTAACCGCCGAGCCAAATCGTTCATTCTTTTTTATACTTTCTAATTCTTTGTTAAAGTTCTCCCTAAGTTCCTCCATTTCACTCACATTTGGAGAACATCCTTATGACCACTTCTTTGAATTCTACTCCCTCCCCTAGATTTATTATTATTTGTACATAGTTTTACATACTGTCTATAAAATTGTGTGTTCTACTTTACATTGTTTCATGAACACTTTCCTATAGGTATTTCTAGTCAGTATTTGAATAGTTATATAACATTTATTTTTGTCAGTGTATCGTTAATGCTTAACCATTACTCTGTTCTGTTATATACTCGGGTCAAAGGAGGTTCTCAGTAAATATTCGTTGAAAGAATGCATGAATATCATAAATTTATATTCTGTGTATCTTTTCAATATTGCACGTTAAAAGGCACAAAAATTTACCTTCTACCCTTTTAGATTCTTCGGCTGGTCTAATCAAATTGGCATAAAACAGGTTAACAGGAGAAAAACAAATTTAAGTATGTACTGTGGAGAAAAAAAGAGGAGAGTTCTATGGAAAGTAACCTCACAGGAGGATCTGATATAAATCCCTAAGTAGGCAGGTCATGGTGAGTAGTCAAGTACCAGGTCTATACTGTCTTTTTTTTTTTTTCTCCTCACCCAAGGACATTTTTGCATTTATCCTCAGACAGAGCCAGAGGAAGAGAGAGAGAGAAACATCAATGTGAGAGAGACACATCAAGTGGCTGCCACCCACATGACCCCAACCACGGCCAGGGACCAACTGCAACCGAGGTACGTGCCCTTAGCGGGGACTGAACCCAGGACTCTCTGGTCCATAGGCTGATGCCCTAACCGCTGATCCAAACAGGCCAGGGCCCTATAACTTCTTTCAGTGAAAGGTTTAAAAACAATTTTTTTAAATTGAGTTTTTAGATAGCGAGGAAGGAAGAGGGGGAGAGAGATAGAAATATCCATGACAGAGAAACATCGATTGGCTGCCTCCTGCATGCCCCATACTGGAGATCCAGTCCGCAACTTGGGCATGTGCCCTGACCAGGAATCAAACTGGCGGCCTCTTGGTGCATGGGACAACACTCAACCAACTGAGCTACACCGGCTGGGCTAGTGAAAGGATTTAGGCCAGTCCTGTCCATTGTTCTTAGACATCTCCTTTGAATTCTTTTTTTTTTTTATCCTCACCCGAGGATATTTTTCCATTCTTTGTACAGATAGAGTGGGAGGGAGAGAGAGGAAGGGAGAGAGAGAGAGAAACATCGATGTGAAGGGACACATCGAGTGGCTGCCACCCGCACGACCAACCAGGGCCGGGGACAAACTGCAACCGAAGTACGTGCCCTTAGCGGGAACCGAACCCGGGTCTCTCCGGACCACAGGCCGACGCTCTAACCGCTGAGCCAAACTGGCCAGGGCGCCTTTGAATTCTTTATCAGGCAAATATCTTTTTTTTCTGGAGATTTTTCTTGTTTCTTCAGTTGAGAGATATTCTGTCATTTCATTTTGTCTGAGTTCTAAGTTTATCTGAATTAGACAAAATACCTGTCTCTCCCAGTCTTGATAACGTGACCTGATGAAGAAGTAGCCTCTGTATAGTCAGCACATGCCTAGTGGTTTTGAGAAGCTGGTGGGAGCCAAAGGTGTTCAGGGCACTGGCCACTGAGCTGGAGTGGCCCCAGGTGGGGTGACCAGGTGAGTGTGGTGCTGCCCTGTTGATCCTGTTTGCTTTCTTTGTTCAGAGGCAACCTTGCAGGCAGGCCAAAGCCCTTGGACAGAACCCCTACTGCCCTATAGAGGTGAAGGGGACATGAACAATGGCACTCATGGCCCCTCTGATGCACCCCTACCCTGGACAGTTCCTGCAGTTTGCTCTCCAATGCTCTATACGTTCTCTCTCGTTTGTCATTGAGAAAGTGGTCTGGCATAGAAGCGACCTCTATGTAGGTATTGTGTGAGGGATAGTTTGGGAAGGTGGTTGGAGCTGGGCAGGCACATAACACCTGGGGCTCTGGTCTGTGTACCTGAGTAACTCCCTGGCAGGGAGGCTAGGTGCGCATGGTGATGCCCTGTTGTCCCTTTGTTTGGAGACAAAGGGCTCCAGGCAGTGTAGCTAGGAACCTGCTGTGCTGACCTTGCAGGCCAAATCTCCTGAATAGAGCTCCTGCCACCTTATGGATCCCGCCTTCTTTGTTTTGTCTCTTTCTCATTTGCTGTTCAGAAGCTGTTCATTCAGCTGCCTATTAGGTGAATTCAGCCACTCCCTATGCTGCTGCCATCTTGAGCACGCTCTGCATGACAGAGGCGAGCCACAGCCAGGGGTGGCTGGAATCCGCACACCAAAGGACATGCACCAGTGGTGTGGTGACAGGAGAGCTGGTTTGGGGGACCTTGGGGTTTGAGGATGGGAGATAAAAGTGGGGAGAACTGACACCCTTTATGAGGGGCTGAAGTTGCCAGGCACCTCTCCATGCCTTGGCCACACGGTGGCGCCCTTACTCCTCCCTAACAGTCCAGAGGACACCTGAGATGCAGTGAGGGCCCTGGTGCGGGTGTCCCCTTGGTCTAGCTAATATCCAGCTCTCCCTTTTCTTCCCAAGTGGAATGTGAGGGCCATTGTGTGCAAGACCCTGCTCTGGGCTGAGCTTTAAGTTTACAGAGACTCTAAAGTTGTGCTCTCATGAACCATGTCACAAATTGGGAAACAGGCTCAGAAAGTCTGTGTGACTCTCCTGAGGTCACACAGAAGCTCCTGGGCAAAGTCTGGATTCAAACCCAGAGCCATGGCATCTGTGTTCATAGGCATTCTCTGGGCTGAGGGTCATAGAAAAAGATTGGTGGGTGTCTGAGCAGCCACGCAGCTCTGCCCTCAG